TCTCGAAGATGCTGGTGGAGTAGTAGAAGACCTACAAGGGCAAGGATGCACCATGAAGAAAGGAGTCAGGCCTTGGAGCCAGCACGACCCAAGCTCTGGGTGAAACAAGCTGACCCGTGGCAACTAGGTCCCCCCAAAACTCACCGCGTTGATCCCTGAGAGCTGCTGGGACAGCTGCAGGACAATCGCGATGAGGATGGGCTGGCGATACATGGGGGAACGGAAGAGTTCCATTATGGTGACCTTCTTCTCCCTCATCATTTGCCGGCTCTCCTCCTTCATCTCCTGGAGGTCGCTGCTGACATCCGTTGTGCCCCGCAGCTTCTTGAGGACTAAGGGGAAGAGGTGGGGTCAAGAGCAGCCGAGGACCCTCCTGTGTGGTGGGACGTGCTCAGGGACGGGGTCACTCACCGCTCTTGGCTTTGTTCTCCTCGTTGCGGTTGATGAGGAGGAAGCGGGGGCTCTCGGGGGCGAAGGGCAGGATGATGCACTGCAGCAGGGCAGGAACGAAGATGAAGCCCAGAAGCAGTGGCCAGAGCGAGTCGTTTCCCATGATCAAGTCCAAACCAAACACCTGAGGATGAGAGGAGTTGAGCCACCCTTTCCCAGTTCAAGTTGGACACCACTCTGCTGCTCACAGGTGCACCGCGGGCTTGGCCACCCATCAGAGGGACAAGGACAGCCATGTTGCTTCCAGGTGGCCAACAGCCATCACATCACAATGCTCCCCATCCCAAATCTTGAGATCTCACAGTGTTCCTGCTCCCACTGGGCTCCAGGTCCATCCCTCCAGCCCCAGCCCCATCTGAAGGGCCACGCAGATCCCCAGCGCAGGCAACGCTCTGCATCGCGGCACTAAACCCCGTCCTCTGAGGAACATCAGCATCAAAGATGGGGGAACACCCCCTCCCCCCCCAACAGCCAGTTCTCTGGCACTTACTTGTGCGATGAGGATGCCCAAGACGATGCCAAGCTGGTGGAAGGTCCCCAACGCGCCACGCAGCGCAGTGGGCGACACCTCACCCACGTACATGGGCACAAAACCAGTGGTGAGGCCGGAGTAGAGGCCGATGATGAAGCGGCCAAGGATGAGCATCTCAAAGGAGAAAGCCATCTTGGAGAAACCCATGAGGACGGCTGCTATGAAGGCGAGAACGTTGGACATCAGCATGGAGTTGCGCCTGGGGAGGGAAGGGAGGAGGGTGGTGAGGACCATGGGCGTCAGGAGAATCAAAGATCAGCTCTTGGCAGGAGCGGGGTGTCCCCAGGATGGAGTCAGGCTGCATGACCCCCTCGTTGAGGTCCACCATGCTAGTGCTCACCGTCCAAAGCGATTGACAAAGAGCCCCACGGAAAAGGATCCGATCATGCCTCCGACGGAGAAGATGGCGACAGAGAGGGACCAGAGCGTGGTGAGGGTGGCAGGGCTGATGGGCTCGTCGTATCGGTACAGCCAGGTACGGTTGTAGAAGTCCTCAATCACCTGCAAAACAGGGTGGAGAAATCAAGCCGTGGGTTAAAACCATCGCCATTTCATCTGTGCCACCGCTGTTATGAATTGCCCAGCCACCTACAGACCCTTGGCCGGCAAGCGCGGCTCACAAGACGATGTGTCACAGAGCTGGGAGCCGCCCAGC